CCCCCTCCATCTTATCCCCACAACAACAACCCTGTGAGGTAGGTTGGGCTGAGAGTCTGTGACTGGCCCAAAGTCACCCAGTTGGCTCCATGGCTGAGCGAAGACTAGAACCCAGATCGTCTGAGTCCCAGTCCCATGCTCTTAACCACTACACCACACTGGCTCTCTGTGCCACAATCATATGACCCAAACCAGCCAACCACAGCAAGAGGCAGTGAGGCAAGCTTTACCTCCCACCCTCCATAGGAGGCCTCAGAGGGCTACAGGCATCCCTACAGGACTGCGCCTTTACAGAATAATCTTCTACATGCATTTTCAGGAGTAAGTCCCACTCCTGAAAATGCCTGTAGAAAATTATCTACATGGAAGTAAGCAACACTCCTCCTTTCAGTGTTGCTTAGTTCCAAGTAAGTAGGATTACAGGGAGAAATAATTTTTTTAATGGTTCAAAAATAAGAAAGTACAATATCATTAATTCATTATCAAGCAAGCAATGCATTTAGGTTAACAGGTAACCACACCTTTCCATTGCAACCATACACAGACCCAAGCCTTGGGCTCATGCACCCCATCCTGTTCTTCCCCATATCTCTATATGTAAAGGATTTTTATTCCTAGTCTTTAGCATCCTGTTTGCTATTTTGCCCAATGTTGGCAAACTGTGACTTGTCCAAAATAAAAAAGAAAGAAAAGACAGTATGTGCACAAACCAAGACCCCAAACTAGAGTTTGAACTTGGTTGTGGACCAGAGGTGAAGAAGAGGTGGAAGCAAGGAAGCCTGAGCCTCTGTAATTGCTGACATGTGAAATTTAATTCAAATGTTTTTGTGGGTATTGAAGCAAACAAGTGGAATAACTTATAAATGTGTCCTTTCTATATCTTGTCCTTACATCACCAAAAAGAACCTTTCAAGAAGTTAGATTTCCAAGACTTGAATCACCTCGTATGTTTCATGGTCCAATGTCTCCACTATGACATTATCACCAGTCTGATCAATATAGGTTACAGGTTTTTCCAGTTTGACCTGATCTCCTAGGTATTCCATAATCTTCTCACTAACTTGCCCAGATCCTCCAACAAACTTCCTCTCCTGGAAGACAAAGAGAGCAAATGCCAGAGTACAAAAGGAAAAAAGTGGTGTCTTCAAATAAAATCCATACTGCAAATTGGCATGCAACAAAATTCTTTCTTTTTTAATCTTTTCATTCTAGTTGAACTATGCATCCTTGTAATATTGAAACAAGACTTCTGAATACCCTTCAAATGTTCTTCTGTGCTCTGCTAGAGGGAATGATTCAGTGACACCACTTGGGAGAGTACAAATTAGTGGCTATGGGTTTGCAGTGATTTACGTGTATACTATAGATGCCTGCAGAGTAACACATGTGCTCAGAGTAGCTTGTGATGGCGTAGCTACAGGAGCACTCTGCAAGAAACAGCAAAGAAACCGAGTAGAAGGCTGATGCCATGGGCTCTGGGCTCCCTGGTAAAGCACAAACTTTACAGACCTTTATTTACTTTCAAGATGCATAGATTTCAGCAAATGTAGCATTGACAATTGTTTCTTTTTAAAGAATCGAAATATTTTACACTATCACTGGTACATTGTGAAAAGATTCTATGCTGTGTTTCCCAGGAAGTGAGAAATGAATGCATCTTCCGTCGTTATTTTCAAGCATGGAAGAGGCCAGAAAAAGGTAATAGTCCACTACTATACCTGTCCTCCATTGGTTGTTGAAAAGATTCTGGCTGTCCCTCCACACTGTTTAACATACCACAGGAACCAGAGAGCAGAGACTTCATGTGGTTCAGAGGTAACATCAACGTTCACAAACAGTGTAGCAAACCGCTTGGCGGCACTGTGTGCAAAATAACATGGAGAAATAACCGTACGTTTTACAAAATTATTTGTTCTGTCTTGCTTTCTTAAAGATAGAAACATCGTGTTCCTTGGCATCTTCTTCCCTAGTTGAAGTAGTGATTTACCTTTTCTGGAATAAATTAGCTTGTTCTCATTATTTCCACCAAGAGAGCTTACAGAGTATCTGGAAAATGTACATTCTATAGCAAAACTCCTAGTCTTTGTGATAACACCTGGTCTTTGCAACATCAGTGTATTAGATTCTCTTGAAACGGGAAGATCTAGTTTTCATGTTCCACTTGTGCCTGCCATCTTTCTGTTAAAAATCAGAAAGCCATTGTTGTGGTTATAGTGTCCTCACTCCTGAATGTCACTGAACACTCACCCCTTCGCTGGAGAAAGAAATATGACAAAAAGCAAGAGGGGATTGTTTTAACTGCCCTCTAACTGGATCAAGCTACCAGTTGAAAGGCTGCTGCTCTTGGTAGTGCAGTTCAATCTCTTCCCCTACCTCATATTTCTAGGCAGTGTTTATCTGAGGGTGATGTCAGGGTTGAAGCCTGTGTGCCAATTACAGCCTCAGACCTGGAATTCCTTATTTCAAGGAAGGGGCGCCCTCTGCATATGGCACAGCCGCTGTCCTCTCACTCTACTATTAACTTGGTAAGAACTTGAAAAATGGCTTGGGCGATTCTGTTTCAAATTTGGTGCTGATTCTAGGGAATAACATGGGATAGAAATGATACCTCAGGGTTTGTGTGAGGCCAGGCAACAAAAAGGTGTGTGTGGGTGGTGTGTCAGTTGCTAGGGCCAGTTTTTAATTTTCTAGTAACTCCTGGATGCCTGTGTTTTTATACTGTACCTAAGTCCATGCATAAAGATGCCTATGCACGGTAATGCTCGGACAAATGCTGGGTATGTATACATCTGGTGGATTTTATTTAACGATTCCTAGCTTAGCTATATGAATCCTTTGAACATTTCATTTGTCATCCAGAAAATAATTCCTATATTGAAAAGTTAATTTTCATAGATGTTTTAATTTTGTTTTGCAAACAGATAGAGTCAACGGTTTCACATGAAATCAGTGAAAATAAATTTATTGTGTTCTTGATTATTTCCAGAAATCAACATCTTCCATTTGTTTCTGGTTGAAAGAGCACACTGTGCTTAAGGATGGAGTTGACCTCTGATATTTGTATCCTTTTTCATACATGTTATGCAGCAGAATAGGCTTTCTAAATGTTCACCCACTGGGAAAGGAACACTGCAACTGTATGTAGTCTTGCTTTCATGTTCTGACAGTCACATAACTCAACTATTGTTCATCACCTTCTTGAGATGTCTTGACCATTCTGATAAAAAAATGATCAAAGTGCTCAGAGCAGACCTCTTTGGAGGTGTGCATGATCCATGCTTTGCTAAGATACTACTGGACTGGAACCAAACTGTTTCAAAATATATGTTGGTATCTTTTATGCTGCTTTGAGGAATTAAAATTACACTAGGAATTCTCCGCAGTGGTTCCACTAAAAAGCAGGGGAGGGGGAAGAATAAGGCAGGATACATACATTCCTCTTAAGTAGCATGCAACTAATTCTGCATGCGTATTGATGTTGCCCTGATTTTGTCCATCATAGCTCTGCACTTTGTTGGAAATGCCTTTCAAATTTCTACTAATTTTTCAGGCTGGCTTATTGAATATTTCAGAAACAGGTTTCATGAAGCTCTGTGGTGTGTGTCCTAAATCCAAATGGTGTAACTCTGTCTTTAGAAAAAAAAATTATAAAGGGACCTCTCTCTCTCTCTCTCTCTCTCTCTCTCTCTCTCTCTCTCTCTCTCTCTCTCTCTCTCTCTCTCT